CCTTGTAGTTTAGGTCTTCACTATGTCAACGATCTTGGCTTCCTTAGATGTAGCTGTCTGTTACTTCATCCCCCATCCCGTTATTAGACCTCTTCAGCCTGTTGCTGCTCTGAAGAAAAGTAACTGTGAACAACTTTACATTCTGGAGCTAACGATCCACAAAGGCTGGAACATTTACATCTCTAAAAGATTATTGGAGATGGTTGTGTTTGAACGACGACCTGATTCCCTTGGTGGGTGATGCTGGTGATTGGATCTAGCTGAGATGTCTCCAACCAGTGTCCCTTTAACTCAACCGTAGTCTTTGATTCCCTCTTTGTGGTTGCTATCCCTCACAAGCCTGCACTTCCCTGGAGTTGGCATCTGCTTTTATTGTTGAGGGAGACTCAGTTCATAGGGAAGTGGTTGTAACCAGGAAACCCTAGAGGAGACTGATAAAGTCATATCACAGGCACACACTGACATGGTGGTCAGGATACTAAGAGGAAGAGAAACAAAACTCAACCAAGAAGAAAGAACACTCAGAGAAGATGCAGGATCTGAGAAAGTCTAGAATTGGAACCCTTTAGGTTTACAGCACTTACTACCTTCCGCAATCTGGGGCAATAAATAATTTTGCTCCTGGAAGCTGGAAGCAGCAAGCTGAACTTTTCTAGTCTTTAATGACAGCACTTCTAGAGAGAATTTACGTCAACTTTTTTTTTATTTTTTTAAATTTATTTATTTATTTATTAAGGATTTCTGCCTCGTCCCCACAACCGCTTCCCATTTCCCTCCCCCTCCCCCGATCAAGATCCAAGAGCAATCAGGGTTCCCTGACCTGTGGGAAGCCCAAGGACTGCCCACCTCTATCCAGGTCTCGTAAGGTGAGCATCCAAACTGCCTAGGCTCCCACAAAGCCAGTACGTGCAGTAGGATCAAAAACCCACTGCAATTGTTCTTGAATTCTCAGTATTCCTCATTGTCCGCTATGTTCAGCTAGTCCGGATTTATCCCATGCTTTTTCAGACCTAGGCCAGCTGGCCTTGGTGAGATCCCAATAGAACATCCCCATTGTCTTAGTGTGTGGGTGCACCCCTCGTGGTCCTGAGTTCCTTGCTCGTGCTCCGTCTCCTTCTGCTCCTGATTTGGACCTTGAGATTTCTGTCTGGTGCTCCCATGTGGGTCTCTGTCTCTGTCTCCTTTCATCGCCTGATGAAGGTTAATATTCATGAGGATGCCTATGTGTTTGTCTTTGGATTCACCTTCTTATTTAGCTTCTCTAGGAACATGAATTATAAGCTCAATGTCCTTTATTTATGGCTAGAAACCAAATATGAGTGAGTACATCCCATGTTCGTCTTTTTGGGTCTGGCTTACCTCACTCAGGATAGTGTTTTCTATTTTCATCCATTTGTATGCAAAATTCAAGAAGTCCTTGTTTTTTACTGCTGAGTAATACTCTAATATGTATATATTCCATACTTTCTTCATCCATTTTTCCATTGAAGGGCATCTAGGTTGTTTCCAGGTTCTGGCTATTACAAACAATGCTGCCATGAACATAGTTGAGCATATACTTACGTCAACTTTTAAATGAACCTTTGCTTGTGTATTTTGCATTAATCTTTACAGCATCATAAATACTGTTAAAAAAGAAGGCAAAGCAAAGGCTATGGCAGAAGCTGCCAAGGAATTCCCTTCAATGAGTTATTATGAGAGAGCCTCAAGGCCATGATCAGCCCCGAGGTGCGAGGGAGAGCATCAAGCAGAAACAGTGTAATATATGGAGTTACAAACATGGTAGGTCTTTAAAGGGGAAAAGCAAGTTTCCTTTTAAAGCTCAGAGCAGACATTCAGTAATAGTGTAATAAGAGAGAGACCGGGACAGGGCAGGGTGGGAAGCATCACGAGAGGGATGGTGGGGTAGGCCAGGGAATCATCTTCAGAGAGCAGCAGCCTTTGATCACCTCTGGACCAGATCCCCATGGGGAGTCTCAGAGCCATCCCCCGAACAAAGGAAAGGCTGACTTTTGTAAACTTTCGAAGGTGGCGGGAAATTTTGTATGACATGGTGTAGTTCACCATAGTGCCTGCGACAAAATGTGGAGGAGGCTCGGTTGAAAGCTGAGAGAGCTGTGAAGAGGCACAGCCCGAGTCAGGCTTTGTTTGGGGCCTAACGGTGCAGGCTGTGCTTCAACACTAAAGAAAATCTCCATTTCACAGAGCTTGGAAACAATGGCAAATATATTCAGGACTGTATGTCTGTGAGAGGACCAGGCTTTGGTCTGGCCTGTCTCTGAAACCTGTGATCTCTGGCTGTCATTCTTGTTGGTTTTAATCTTTTGAGATAGGATCCTTCTATGTAGCCCAGAGTGGTAGCCTTGGATCATTTTTTTCATCAATTTTTAAAAATTGATTTTATTGAGCTATGTTTTTCTCTGCTCCCCTCCCTTCCTCTCCCCAAGCCTTGGATCATTATGTCAATCCAAGTTTCCATTGAGATCACCATCCTCCTGCTTCAGTCTCCTGATCGTTGAGATTGCAGGTGAATGCTGGCACGCCTGGCCATCTTGTTCTTTACCAATGGACTTCCATGATTTTTCTGCCACTTTGACCTTCCTGTCATGCGGCCCTTTTGAGGACTTTCCCTCTTTGGTTGGCCTACTCCAGTTTTCAGGTGTGTATCACTGTGTTTGTAACCATTTCCTTTTAGACATGTCTCCTCTGTAGTCCTTTCCCAGGTGTGATGGGAAAAGAAACTCCAAGTTTTGTTTCAGTGTAGCGTTCCTGGACATTCCCTGGATGGCTTTGTGAGGGTCTCACTTAATAAGTTATCCAGAGAATTTTGTCTTCTTCCAGATTGGTGAGATGGTTGGGCCTGAGAAAATTCAAAAGAGTAACATGTGCGGCGTGCCACGCTTTCCGGACATCTTCACATCTGGGTACTCAGAGAAAACCACACACATCATGTAAACAAATGAGGCTCCTCTCGGCTGGCACCACTGTGTCATCCAGCCATTCTCAAGCCTGAGCGACACTAAACGGCTGTCCTGGTTAGGGTCACATCAACTGGACACAAGTTAGAGTTGCCTGAAAAGGGGGAATGGCGATAGAGAAAATGCCGCGGTAACATCCAGCTGTAAGGCATTTTCTTAATTGGGGATTGATAGGAGAGGGCCCAGACTGTTATGGGTGGTGCCATCCTGTGGCTGGTGGTTCTGCGTTCTCTACGAAAGTAGGCTGAACACTCCACGGGCAGCAAGTCAGTAAACAGCACGTCTCCACAGCCTCTGCATCCGTTCTTGCCTCCAAGTTCTTGCCCTGACTTCCTTAATAAACCCTTTCTTCTCCAACTCGCTTTTTGGCCATGGTGCTTCATTGCAGCAATAGAAACCCTAAGACAAAGGCTTAGTGCGAAAGTTAATGCACACAGGCCCAAAGGCAGTTCCTGGAGAAATCGGAAAGCTGCTTGAATGCTGCAGTAAGACCGGAACCTTTAATAACGAGCACACCCGGCTTTGTATTCTGACTCTGCCCCATAGGATCTACACACGCTAGTGGAGAATAATAATACTTTCTTGTTGCATTAAATCAGTGCGTCCTTTATAGTTGGTTAGCATTCCTGTGTTTACACAATAATTATCAATTTTGTTTCTTGCTATGTTAACTACATTCTGTTTTTGTGTTTTAGTTTCTAATGATATTTAAACTGATGTCATCCCATTGCTCTTTCCCACAGGTTAAAAGTCAGATAAAAGCTGGCAGGGAGGTAAGATAGGCCCAGTAGTAAAGTCATATGGTAGATAGGGTGGAACTGTTGAAGGTTTCTGAAGACCGCAGAATGTAAGATGGTTTTATGTCATTTCCTTGAGTATTACAGCTTGCTTCCTGAAAGGGAATTTGGGAAAGAGGCCCCAGAAGAGGGCCCTAAAATTGATCCCAGAACATCTCATCATCTGAGGACAAGGAGGTAAGAAAAACAAAAACAGCATCCACTCATGATACCTTCATATTCTTTTTATTTTCTATTAACCTTGAATACAAGTGGTTCTTCATCAGTGACAGTTTTGCCCACCTTATTCAAAGCCTTGGGACCCTTTTCTTTCACAGCTGAGCAATATCACTGCTGCTTGCTGGGCAGCAACAGGGTGTGCTGCTAAACACCCCACAATGCCCAGGGCAAGCCCTCAGGAGAGTTATGTGACAACTAATGTGGGGTGACCCATCCCTAGCCCCCCACTTCCTACACCCCTGCAATCCTAGTATCCTGGAGGCTGAGGCAGCAGGAGCTTAAGCTTGAGGCTACCTTGGGCAGCATAGCCAGTTCCAGGCCATCCTGGGTTACATAACAACCTGCTTATTTTTTTTTTTTTCTGCTAAAAGTATGGGTGCCGCAGAAGCTGAGAAACTTTGAGTGGGTAGAAATGATGATCTTTATTTTACAGCCCAGGAGCCAGGAGCTCTCAGGAGCTCCCTGATACTCAGACTCGGTTTCACAGTTGGAAACCTGTGATCTTTCACTAAAGCCACAGTGGTGAGACCAGTGATGGGGAAAACGGACCAAGGTTAAGAACCAGGGCACAAACTGGTGCTCACGAACAGTGGGGTGCACAGAGGGAGATGTGGGGGATGAATGCTCTCCTATTGCTCGTCTCATATCTGTTCTTGCTTTTCGTCTACAGAAGTTCCAGAAGATTCTTGTCTACCATACTTTTCTTGAGGAACAGAGAGACTGAGGCAAATGATGTCTGAGCTGAGTTTGGGTGGCCATCTCCCGTCTGAGTCCCAGGTCAGCTGTGGCTCCAGCAGAACAAGCAGGGAGCTGGGTCTCAGTTTCTCACTGTTTTGTGACTTGAGCTGAACCAAGTTCGCTCCGTCAGTCCTGACTCTTCTAGTAAAGAAGAAAGGAAAGAGGGTGGAAGGGGAGGAGCCAATGATTAAACAGACCGTTTCTTTCTACTTCCTCATTTGGACTCCAGAATTTGTTCTCTGGCTACAGTCTGCCAGGGCTGGAGAGAAGCCTGTGCCTGCAGCTGACTCGCTCCAGGAACGATGCGAATCCCATCATTCTTACCTCTCCCCCCGGAGAGCAACTGGGCTGCCTGTATACTCTCCCAGACTTTGTGCCAAGTGCTACTGTGGGCAGCTGTGCTAAGTAAGTCAGAACCTCCAGAAGGGAAGCAGGGGCAAGGACACCTGGGCTGGGGTTGGACTTGTGTAGGGATGGACATAGCACAGAAAGCATGTCAGTAGGTAGCAGGATAAGAACTAGGCTGCAACAGCCTGGCTGGGCTTTGAAAATCAAAGCTGGCAGGAGTTTTTGTTGTTGCTTGTTTTCCTGTCATTTGGTACCCAGGTCCCTGTTGCACTAACCGTTTCTCATTAGAACCTACTATCACTTGGTACTCTGGTCCCCGATGCACTACCACCCTCCCCACCAGAACCTTCTTTAAGGGAAATCTAGTGCCCTAGCCTTGAGTGATAAATTTATCAATCAGCCAGTTTCCATTTGAATTTGGGATTCATGCCGGACCAAATCTAGGCAAGATGTCTAGTGCTGCTCCCAACAAGAGTTGGGAGGGGGTACTAAGATGCATCTGAGGGGGTGGCAATGGATGGATGTTCTCTGTGCCTATGAAGCCACTCTATCCACCAGAAGGACCCCTCCTCCCTTTATATATAAGGGCAGGCATGAGAAGGTCTGGGCTGTCCTGGGATTTTAGGTTCAGATCATCACAAATCTGGGCAAGTTGGAGTTGTCAATTATGGGGCCAGAGAAATATCTCCTGCCTCCTTCACTGCATAGGCCATGGGGCTTGGGCTTGGCTCTGCCTAGTAAGAAAGTCAGGGTTGGGGGCCTTAGACTGAGACAGAGGAAGATTCCTGGTCCTACTCTCACCTGTGGGCCAGAGGGCAGAAAGCGATGGGGCTGGTTGATTAGAAGAGTCTGGGTGAAGAACAGTAAGGAGTCCTGTTGAGGGGCCGTTTTCTAAGCTCTGTTCTGGGGTTTCTACCCACACCTCTGAGAGGAGAGCATACAGTTGCCCCACCCCCTGCCCCATGCTATGTTACATGCTATGACTCATAGTGAAATCTGGTCAGTCCTGAGGGACCTCAGCTGTCAGTGCTGGGTGGGACTTGGCTTCCAGGGAGAGCGGTATGGAAGAGAGACCACTTGCCCACAAGTAGGTATATTAGAGTGACACCAGATAGCTCGGCTTTCACATGGGAAGGCTCAGTCCTAGAGATGCATATGCCTTTCTATTTGTGCTGTGCAGCCATCAATCACCTGCTGAAGACTCATAAGAACGGCATGGTGAAGGCTCCCAAGAATGGCATTTTCTTCTATTTTCTTTTGCTAAATTTCTTTTTTCCATTGTTTTCTGGCTCTCCACAATTAGGATTTTATCCCTTGATTCAATACTATAACACCCTTTGATTGTGTCTTGCTTGCTCCCGCCTTTGACCCTGTGTAGCTCTGGAATCTTCCAGGACAGCTACGGAAAGGCTTAGTGCTTTCTAAGTGTCTTCAGGGCTGGCCCTTTGACTCCAGATAAAGCTCCAGTACCTGCTCGCCATGCTCCCCTTTTATCCACAAGGGATCTTTCTCCGCCAGCAGTGTGGACACTACGCTTGCCTTTTACTACCTGTGCTTCAGTTGATTCTTCTAAGTTCTTTGTGCCAGAGACTAGATTTGGAGACGTGTCAGAGAACAGAACAGGCAGTTTTTCTGACCTAAAGTACAAGGTATTCGTCTTCCTTCTATTGACTGCACTGGATAAGAGCATAGTTTTCATGTATGTTGAATATAGAATGAACATACAAATGATGGTTTCTCCCTTCCACATATCTGGTTTTTTCTCCTTTTCATTCACTGTACTAGCCTCCTTGCTAATCTCACACACTCAGATTTTCAGTCATTACTTCTATGTCACTTATTTGTCCTTCTTTCCTCTGTAGACTTTAATTTCCCTGCCTGTTGATGAGACATCTATAAGCAGATTTGTCAGCTTAGAAACAAAACTATATTCAAAATCTAACAGCATCATCTCCTTACAAATTTTCTTATCTTTCTAATATTTCTAATTGCTTGAGCAATGCCACCTTTCCCCTGCTCATGCACATTTATCAACTTCATGCTTTATTAAATGCTAATTTTTCTCAGTTTTGCCTCTTAAGTTTTTCTCACATGTGGGGCTTCTTTACTTCCTATTGTCAATGCAGATGAAGAAGCAAAGTCATGGGGGGAATATTGATGCTTTTGATAGAGTCAGAAGGGTAAATAAGGGGATCCATTCATGGTATTTGGGAAGTAGAAGCAGGAAGGACTGGAGTTTAAGACCAACATGGGCTACCTGACAAGTGTGAAGCCAGCTTGGGCTCCAACAACAACAGCAATAAGAAGATAAAGGGATTTGCAATGAGGTGAGGTAATGATGAAACACAGACTCTAAGCTAGAGGTGTGTGTGGGGGTGGACTTAGAGGTAGATAGTGGTGAGGTAAAAGTTGTGGTCGGGCGACTATAGAGGCTGTACTTGGGCAAATAGGAAGAAAAAGGAGGAGGTTTATTGGTGTGACTGAAGCCTGGAACATTTGATTTTGTGGTTTTGAAGTTGGTGTGGCTGGGAGTGATAATCACAAGGCCTTGAGGTATAACATGGGCCTGTGTGGTTAATCTATATGAGAGCAGGGTCTCTACAGATGAGAAAGACAAGGGATGAAGAAGCCAGACGTTGCACAGCCATTAACATGCATTCTAGATCACCGTCTTCTTGCTAATCTCTTGCACTTCCTCTGTCCCAATTAGTCTGACACAGCACTTTCAGCCCCAATGTGAACTTCTCATTGTTTACCGAACTAAACATCAAACTTCGAAAGTTTGTTCATGATTATTTAAAAGGTTCTCACATGGCGCCTTTGGCACTGCACAGATGCTCTATCTGGAGTATCACTCAATCCTTACAACAGTTTATGGCATGGGTATTGCCATAAATTTATAGATTTCCATTAATAAGCAAGAAGATCGAAGTAGAGAGAAGTAAAGTTACCTCTGCAAGGCCATTGTGCATTGCTTTAGCACTTTTTAATTACTTTTCTCATTACTTTGACAAAACACCAGGCAAAAGCAACTTAAGGAAGGGCTTATTTTGGTATAGATTGTGGTGGGAAGGTGACAGGAGCCTGGGCTGGCCACCTCACACCCGCAGTCAGGAAGCAGTCAGGAGAGAGATGAGCGTTAGTACACAGCTAGCTTCTTCCTCTTTTTATTCAGGCTGGGACCACAACCTATTGGACCTACTAAACTACACCTATATTCAGGGTGGGTTTTAGCACTTATATTAAACCTTTCCAGAAATACCCTTTTTGACACAATTAAAGATGTCTCCATGGTGATTCTAAATCTAGTCAAGTTGACCATGAAGACTAACCACCACCATGATAGTCATGGCATGATTCCGTATGCTCTGACTCGCTGCCACTCACTTCATTCGGCAACAACGGTACTCCAGAATGTGGCATCTACCTCTATCTTCAGCTTTGACTCTCATTACTGAGGGTGTACTAAACAGACCAAAGCAGCAACCAGTCTGCAACTTCCTGAGCATGTTGACAAATATCTCAACATCTTTCTTAGGGAATATTCCCTTTCTGTCTGTCACAATTACAGACTACTTGGAGCTTCGTGTCGAACACTACTCTCCCACATTCCCGCCTAGGCAAAATCTTGCCAAAGTCAAAGACCTATACTCTCTTCCTCCTCTGAATCTTCATAACATTTGTCTATGTTCTTCTAAAGGCATTGAGAGCATCTCTTTTATAAGATGCGGTGGGTAGCACTAGGGAAGCAGAACTGGGTAGATAGATCTCTGTGAGTACAAGAACAGACTAGTCTACATAGCACATTCTAGGTCAATCAGGGTTACATAATGAGATTGTGTCAAAACCAAAAAGCCTTTTAAGTATTAGGTTGCACACATGCTTGTTCTTATCATCAGACTGTTGGCTTCAGTGGGGATCCGGTGTTGTTCTCTTGTGACACTACAACTCCCAGTGTTCCCCTGGGGACACATTTCCCAGAAGCTTTTGCATTCCCTGTTAAAAAGCGGGGGCCGCCACGAGCCCCCCCCCTCTCTTCTTCTCTCTTCTCCTTTCTCCCCCCCTTCCTTCCGCCTCCCCTAGTGTGTCTGCACGTTTTCCCCTACCTGTTTGTTATCCCTCCCCCCATTAAAGTGTACCACGTGGGACCGCCGCGTGTCTGTGTCTTTTCCCTGCGTAATCGTCTTTACCCCCATAGGACAAACAGGAATTAAGAACAACATCCGGGACTTATATCTTTTCCTTTAGGGGCACTCAGGATGAATGGCAGGGCAGGAGATAGTCAGCACACTTTCCGGGATTACAAAAAGACGGATTGGTTGTGTGTACATACTGAGATGCAGTGGCACGGGGATCAGAATCCCGTCTTCTGGGCTGCCAGAGCATCACTCCCCTTGCAACATCTCCTCCTCGGCACTCATTTTCACACTTTTATCCCTGAAAGGATTCAGACTTGGGAGACTCGTGATGTTTTCAACACAAGTACAAGAGAAAGCTCCCACCATGGACGGGTGCATAGATCTACCCACACACAGTACACACTTTGGGGTCTAGTTATCTCAGGACCTATTTTGCTATTATACCCAACAGCCATGCATAGAGCTCCATCCTCCCATTCAGCATTCCCATTCCATGCTCGGCTTCTACTTGGGAAGCCATTTCTGTCTCCATGGGTCATTCCATCTGCCCCCAAAGGAAGCTACAAATCTAGTGTTCTTTTCTTTTAGTTTAATTTTTGTGAATGAGTATTTTGCTACATGTATGTCTGTGCACCACACCTGTGCCTGATGCCCAGGGAGACCAGAAGAGGATGCCAGAGCCCCTGGAACTGGAGTTGGATGGTTGTGAGCCACCATATGGGTGCTAGGAATCAAACCCAGGTCCTCTGGGAAGGCAGCCTGTGTTCTTAAATGCTGAGCCATCTCTCCGCCCCATGGTGTCCTTCTGTTATTTCTTCCTCCTATCAAATTTGCCTATCAGCAAAAACTGGAAGACCAAATGTTAAGCAATAGGGATGTGAGATAAAATACAGGAAAGTCAAATTGTAGGATAGGGCACAGGTGTTAAAAATGACAACATAGAACAGACTCAGCTACTAGATCTTGTATTGCTTAGTGAAAGACCAGGCCAGAGAACACTTTTCTGGTATGGTCTCATTTGCTGTTCATCTGTATGCAAACATTACACACACACACACACACACACACACACACACACACACACTATACAACTTACGTATAGGACACGTGTGCTAAGGTGATAGTAGTTTGTCATGCGTATTTTCTCTTTCCCCTAAGGATTATGGACTACCTGTGTGATCTGTAGACCTTCCCCACAAAAGAAAAACCCTGTTCTCAGGATGGACCTTGGCAAAGTCTACTGAAATACAAATCACATGTAAACTTTGACAGTCAAAGTGTTTAGCCTAATGAAACTGTCACAGCACAGATGTTACTGGGGACAGAACTCAAATATTTCTGAAAGTGTATTCCATTTAGGCAATTCCAGGGGAAGGTATTGACGTGAAGGTTGGGCTATGGGGATGAAGGGGCCTTTGGGTCTGGGTAGGCATGTCTCAGTGTGGAAGCCCAGACCCTGGTTGATGTTTGCTTTCTTTCTTACAGATCTTGTTGCTGGGACACATGGTGAGTCCTCTTTTCATACCTTATCACTGTCCTATGTGTCACCTCCCTCTTCCCCCAAAGATCTGCCCGGAAGTGCTCAGAATGTGCCAGCAACCAAGCTCAGGACCCGGTCAGGACCAGGAAAAGGCCATTGTTCCCAGAAAACTTCCTGCCCTTCTCCTCCTTCCCTCTGTCTGGGGAGGCGAGTGGTCAGAAAGCATGGCTCTCTAGTATAGCAATTCTTCTGGTTCTGTTATAGTGAGAAGTGACCAATTATCTCAAACATTGAGAGGTCTGTCCTTGTCCTCAACCGCCTTCTACTCTCTAAGTCAAATCGAGAGTCTGAAAAGTTGATCTCAAAGAAGCAGAGAGTAAATGACCAGAGCTTGGGAAGGGTGGAGGAGAGGGTAAGGATGGAGACAAGATGGTTAATAGGTACAGAGGTAGAGTTAAATATGAGGAGCAAGTTCTAATGTGCTATAAAGAAGGCTGTCTTAGTTAGGGTTCCTGTGGCTGTGAAGAGACACCGTAACCACGGCAACTCTTATAAAGGAAAATATTTAATTGGAGCTGGCTTACAGTTCAGATTATCATCATGGTGGGAAACATGGTGGCAAGCAGGCAGACACGGTGCCTGAGAGGTAGCAGAGAGTTCTACATCTGAATTAGCAGGCAGCAGGAAGAAAGAAAGATAGTGGGCCTGGCTTGAGCATCTGAAACCTCAAAGCCCACCCCCAGTGACACACTTCCTCTAATAAGGCAACACCTATTCCAACAAGGCCACACCTCCTAATAGTGCCATTCCTATGCATGGAGGCTATTTTCACTCAAAGCACTACAAAGAGTAATTATGGTTGACAATTAATTGTAAATTTCACAGTAGCTAAAATAGAGGATTTGAACATTTAATGTGTGAGGGGACAGATATCCAAATAACTCCGTCCATTACACATTGTGTGCGTGTACTGAAGCACCATACATTAATAAATAGTTATATGTATAAAAGACTTTTTAAAATCAAACAAAATTGTACACAAAAACAGTTGTGCATGTCTTTAATCTTAGTGTTCTGTAGGTAGACATAGGTAGATCTCTGAGTACTAGACCATTCTGATCTACAGAGCAAGTTCCAGGACAGCCAGGGCTACACAGAGAAACCCTGTTGCAAAAACAAAGCAAAAAAAAAAAAAAAGAAAGAAAGAAAGAAAAGAAAAGAAAGCTGCCAAACCCTCTCTTTCTCTCTGAATAAGATTCAAGCACATAGGGCTGGAGAGATGGCTCAGTGATTAAGAGCATTGCCTGCTCTTCCAGAGGTTCTGAGTTCAATTCCCGGCAACCACATGGTGGCTCACAACCATCTGTAATGAGGTCTGGTGCCCTCTTCTGGCCTGCAGACATACACACAGACAGAATATTGTATGCATAATAAATAAATAAATATTTTAAAAAAAAGATTCAAGCACATAGAAAACTACTGTCTGTCTAGACTGTCCCATGTGTTGATAAGTCCTCTACTTTGCATGGGTGTGAGGGCATGTCTTATTATACAGGGAAGACCCTCTGGGGGAAGGGCAGCACAGGACTTGGGTTGGAGAGTTCAGGGAGGGAGCAGGATATGCCAGCCTTATCCTATCCTACATTAGGTAGGGATTGAGGGATGCCAGGAAACCCTGGCGGGCAGGCACGCTTTAATGTGTTAAATAGGCACCCACGTTGTCTGGTTTGGAAGTTGACAGCCCTCTCCAGCCTTCTCCCTTGCTCCACCCTGCTGAGAGTCAATTACATTCCTTGTCATTTCTCTGGGCTTGTGGGATGGAATGAGTAGAAGAATTTCGAGGAAGAAGTTTTCTGTACTGGATTCCACCCTTGATGCACTCCCTAGGAATACGGGTGCTTTTTCAGAGGAGACTCGGGGCCTGCTTAGGCTCTTGGGGCTCCCTTGCCTCATGTTGCATTCTCTCTCTGAAATTCAGCGGATCTCCCGAAGGCCATGGTGAAACTTGAGCCCCCATGGATCCAGGTGCTCAAGGAAGACAGTGTGACATTGAAGTGTGAAGGGACCCACAACCCTGGGAACTATTCGACCCAGTGGCTCCACAATGGGAGCTCCCTCCGGAGCCAGGTCCGGCCCAACTACACGTTTAAAGCCACAGTCAATGACAGTGGAGAATACCAGTGCAGACTGGAGGAGAACATCCTCAGCGACCCTGTACAACTGGAAGTGATTGCCGGTTAGTAGACGGGCCCAGGAAGGAGCTGGGATACCAGGAAGTTGGGGGTGGGATGAAGTGGCGTGGGCTGGGTCTGCTTATTACAAGGTTTGCAGGAAAAGGGGTCGCCTGGTTTCTGGGAAGCATCACTAAGAGTTGCTTGGAGGACTTTTGTCTACTCATTTCCCTGTTTACCCTCCCTTGTGCTTGGTCCGCTGCAGGCAGGCACGTGGAGGGCTTACGAATTCCTGAGAAATTCCTCAGCATGTGTGAATAGCTGGGTTTTTGTTTTTGTTTTTTTTTAAATGTGGTAGTCCTGATTGAGCAACAGAGGTTCATGGACAAAGACAGACAGCTGAATAATACAGAAAAAGGAAGTCCCTATTTCATAGAAATCCTGCTGTTACAGGACACTCAGAAAAATGCCATTAGCCCACAACTGAACCCAGGCTGTGGAAAGAGTCGTCTATACAAATACGGTTATTTATTTAACTTTGAGTTCAGCTTTCTCCTCTGCTTAGCCGAGAAGGCTAATGTCTCCTCCCTGAGGTTCTGGAGAGCACGGGTATTTTCCTGATCTCTTTCCTTCACAGTCCTGGGTGTCCTCGTCTTTCTTTTTCTTCCACCAGCTTGTGGACACATGAGGTGAAAAGCCATGTCTCATCCATTTCCATATTTGCAGTATCCAGAACAGGGCAGGGCTTATTAATTCTTTTCTGGGCAGATCAACGATTTTATAAGACTCCTGGCAAAAAGTAGATTTTCTCCACAGAAAGGCCACCGCGAGACTGCATTGTCGGCTACTGTCGCTGTCGCTCTTGGTGCCTTCCTCTCACCAGGATGTGCACAGCAAGCTAACGACTTTCCTCTGGCCATGCTGAACCGTAGGTCCACACCTGTTTCTATTTATCAAGGAAACCAACATTTTTGGGGTGGGGAGCTTCAGAAGTTTCCAAAGGGAAGGCTCTGTCGTATTCTCTTCACACCCATGAGGCTGGATTCCTTCCTCTTTCCTGTATCTCCATCTCTTGTATTCTTCCTGACAGGACAAGGCCATAGCTGCCTTCTCTGAAAGGAGGAAGGAGACTATTGGACACCAAGAATTAGTGTAGCTGCAAAATCTGACAATGCCCATTTCACAGATGAGGAAATTGAGGCCCAGAAGAATTCAATTACTTGCCCAAGACTAAAGAGCTTGTGAATGAGTGGAGCTAGTATCAGAGATCAAGATTGTCTGATGTCAAACTAAAGCTCTCTCGCCCTTAGCAGATCATATCCTTCCAGGAAGGGTAACCTCTGTCTCAGGATTGAGCCCAGGCCCTCTGAGTCCGATGGTCTTTCTGTGTTGCTCAGACTGGGTCTCAGAGCTGAGCCCAGGCCCTCTGTGTCTGATGGTCTTTCTGTGTCGCTCAGACTGGCTGCTGCTCCAGACCCCTCAACTGGTGTTTGAGGAAGGGGAAACCATCATCTTGAGGTGCCATAGCTGGAGGAGCAAACCCCTGAACAAGATCACATTATACCAGAATGGAAAATCCATAAAATATCGTCAATCCAATGGCAACTTCTCCATCTCCAAAGCAAATCACAGCCACAGCGGTGATTACCACTGCACAGGATACCTAGGAAAGGGACAATACAAGTCGAGGTCTGTGACCATCACTGTCCAAGGTACGGGGCCTCTGTCAGGACGTTGGAAAGGGAGAGGAGGAGACGGACAAAGGCTAAAGTCCCACATGGAGCTCTAGGAATGTCACAGCAGCAAAACTGGGCTGGGAGCAAAGAGGAAAGCTGTGAAGGCCCTGCCAGGTGAGGGCAAGTGGGTGGTGGGTGGCAGGACTGCGGGGTAGCAGAGAAACAGTGCCCTGTCATCAGTGCATGGGTTCTCTGCATCCCTAGACATCCCTAAGAGCTGAAGTGTAACTTTTTGTATCTTATTTAATAGTCATTCATTCTCGAAGGCCCGACATGTTCTAGGCAGTGGTGGTGCTGCCATCTGTGGGAGGCTTCAGATCCCCCCTCCCCACTGCGTCTGGGCTGTCCCCTCTGCTCCTACATCTTCGCCAGTGTGCCCTCATTAGTTTGGTGGAAGCACTCGGTTATTGGGGAGGCACAACTCTGTGCACAGAAACCTATGCAGATGAGGTTTCAGGGTGATGTGTTACACCTCTGAGGTGACCCGGACAACTCTAGGTGACAGACGTTGGGCATAGCGTTGGAGGAAGGGTGAATACACAGAGAGAACTTACTACCTTCACCCCCTCTGTCTTTTCCAGTGCCCAGATCCAGCAGCAGCTCTGTACCAGTCTTGACAATTGTAGCCGCTGTCACTGGGATTGCTGTAGCAACCCTTGTTATTATCCTGGTATCCTTGATCTACATCAAGCAAAAACAGGCTCCAGGTGAGTGGCTCTCTCTGAACCCTCTTATCAGTTCCCACTTAGCTGGGGCTAGCTAGGGCTTAGAGACTTATTTGCTTTTGATATAGTGCCGTCATGTTCATTCATCTACTTACAAATTCATCTGTTAAACCAGACTTGAACAAGCTTGGTGATTTACCACCACCTTGTGCTGGACAATGGAGGTGTTTGGTTCCCTTTCTGCCCTCAGCTAGTTCTCAGCATTGTGAAGCAGACAGAGGTACAAGGGGATGCTTACAAGAAGGGGTTAGAGCGATGAGATGATAGCACTGTGATTAGGCACTGGAGGTTGCAGCACATTCTGTGACCCCAGGATGGTAAGATAGAAAAGAGGAGAGGCTGAAGCCACACCTAGTGAGATGGCTCGGTCAGTACAGGTGCTTGCAATACAAGCCCTGTGATCTTAGTTCAGTCAGTTATGGTACCCAAGTTAAGATGGGAAGAGAGAAACTGATCCCAAAAAGGTGTCCTCTGACCATCATGGATATGTTAGAGTGTATACCACATATAACAAGAAATAAAGGTTTGTTTTTCTTTTAAAGACTCTGAAGCCAGCCTGGGCTGAAGGATGAGTCTGAAGTCAGCCTGTGCTACACAGCAAGATCCTGTGTAAAATATTACAAAGGGAAGATTTCATAACCCCATGTGTTTATCAGCTTTCTGTCACTGTAACAATGTCCTTCAGATAATCCCCCATGAAGAGAAATAATTCCTGGGCACAATGGTAAATACATGTCAGCATTCAGGAGCCCAAGGATGATCACAAGTTCAAAATCCTATCTCAAAATATCTAAGCAAATCAGTCAATAAACAAAAAGGTTTATTTTTAACACACTTTTGTAGGACTCAGTCCGTATTGGCCCAATTGCTTTGGGCCTATGACAAGCTAGCAAGGAAGTGCACGGTGGGGCAAAGCTGCTCGCCTTATGGCCAGTAAGCAAAGTGACCAAGAAAGAGATGGGAGATGCCACAGTCTGCAAGAGCATGTCCCTGATGACCTAAAGACTTCTCTCTCTATACATGATTTCAAAGTTTCCGCTTCCTCCCAGTTGTTCCACCTGGTGACCAAGCATTTAACACATGAGATTTTAATGTGTTTAAAGCACATTAAACACAGTTTAACGAACTGTGGCAGGCAGCCTGGCTGGGGCAGTTGGAGAAGGCTTCCTTGAGGAGCCCGGATAGTGTGGCGATTGAAATACACACAGTAGGACCAGATTGCTGTGGTTCAAATCTCAGCTCACAGCTCAGCAAATATTCAATGTTGAGTACATTACTCAACCTCTGTGCTCAGTTTACTAGTCTGAAAAATGAAGAACACTGTGGGACCCACCTTACAAGAGTGTTAATGACAGTGATTGAATCTGAACCCTTTGTACAGGTGCCTAACAGACAGTAAAGAGCATGTAAGTGTGAGCTGTTAACCACAGTGGAGAAGGGTGAAGTCTGGGGGTAGCCATTAGCTAGGCGAAGTGGAAGAGCATTCTAGGACCTGTGGAAATGGGGAATGTTGTGGTCGATGGAAGTCACTGAGAAAGAGAAAATGCTGCCACTGACTAATATCTAATACCTTGTAACACGCTTTGCAGTTGGAATTCAGAGGAATTCAGTTCCAGGTGATAAGTAAATATTGAGAGATGCAGAGAGAAAGATTACACTTTTTTTTTTTTCTAGGAAAGGTCTCACTTTGTAGTCCTAGCCGCTCTGGAACTCACTATGTAGACCAGGCTGGCCTCAAACTCACAGAGATCCTCTTGCCTCTGTCTCTCGAATGCTGGAATTAAAGGCGTACACCCAGTCAAAAGATTGCACTTTAAAAACCAGGGTTACTATACCCAGCCACAAGACTAAGCTTTTAAAATGGCCAGGAAAACCTGAGAAAGATGCAGTGGAGTGGTTTTTGTGATGTCCCTTGGTGTTCTCTTGGGTTAGTCACCATAAACTGGAGAGGTTCCTGGGCAGGGGAACTGGGAAGCTGGGAGGAGTGTGGGTGACCACCAGAGGGAAAGGTCTATGTTGCTTTTAACTCAGTTCTGACCCTGCTCCTTGATCCAGGACTCATCCCATAATCCTACTAACTTCCTACGTGCCCCTCTTAGCTCTCCCAGGAAACCCTGATCACAGGGAAATGGGAGATACCCTTCCCAAGGAACTAGGTGAGTACAGCGTGCCCTCTGAGGGTTCAGTGCCGGGCAGCCCAGGGCCTCCATGTGGACTGGAGCCAGCAAGCAACAGCTATTGTGAGTTTCAGTGGGAGTACAGGAGAGGGAGGAGCAGTGGGAGCACGGCTGGGACTCAAATCTCTTGGTCAGCTCTGAGTCTAGCTCTTGGCCCTAAGGAGGCTCTCACTAGAGATGAGAAAAGGAACTTTGGTTCTGGGGAGAGAAAGACAGTGGACTCTGACTAAACTTCTAGACCAACAAGGAGTCTGGAGACATTTCCAGAGCAGGACTTCAGAGGCATTTGGATCTTTCCGGGGAGATGTGGCAGACCTGGTAAAGGATAGGCTTAACGGCTGTATGATGGCAGCCAATGAGATTAAAAAGAGAGACCCCTTAGAGGAAGGGAAGAGGTCTGAGGTAACCCTGGAGAATTTTTCAAGTGTGTTTCCCTGTGGAGGAGTAAGGGGAGGCTTGGTACAGCTCAACTTTTAGTAGCATATTGAGAGGAGATTTGAGTTGAGGAAATTCTGGGAGATTAGCAGCAGTACCCGTAGGTTACGCTCTGCAGGCACACCTTGGCTCTAATGCCCACTCATTATGGTTTATTAAACACTGGCCTAACCCTTCCGCCATCATACAACTGAATCTGAAGTAGATCACTCCCCATGAAGAAGCAGGTGGGTGGGTGAGCGGTTTAGATGACCCCGGAACCCTCATAGGTCTGAGAAGAGAAAGCCAGTGTGACCTTTCAGCACTGGAACAGGGGGAAGCATGCAGAAGGAGCAGGAGTATTTCAGGCGATTTTTGACTGTAGTGAAAGACAAAGCACACAGGCAAGTGAAGTTTTCTCTAGGGGCTTCCATGACAGCAGCAATAGGCAGGAGAAAGACTTTCTTGGAGAGTCCACTTCAGGGGACTGGCGCATGACTCAGAGCAGAACCAACGGATATGAGAGCTTGAGCAAAAGAGCCTTCCTTAGCTTCGCTTTGGCAGGGTCTGTGTCCTTCAGCCCCGTGTGCGGATCCACATCTAGGATCAAACTAGGTCTAAAAAAAAAAATGCTAAGCATGACTGGGTTCACAGCCGCCCCCCCCCCCCCCCCCCCCCCCCCCCCCCCCCCCCCCCCCCCCCCCCGGCCTGGCTGTAAACACTTTTCCTACCGCGTTTATGCAGCCTGGTACTGGAGCTGGTGGTTTCCCCTAAAGGCATCGTTAGCTGCTGCACTTGCTAAGAAGTGTATTAAAAGGGGGAATTCTGAACGTGTTGTGGGGGCAGAATTTGGAGCATGGCAAACAGGGTTCTTTGTGTCCAGGGGCTGGGGGAAGAGACTGGAGGCATTGTCTCGGCCTTTTCCCCCACTTCCCAAAATGGTGATTCACGGACACTGGCGCTGCATTCCATACTGGCAAAGGGAACTTAGGGCAAAAGCCTAAGAGAATGTGGTGTTTGGGATATTTTTCAGAGAAATACTGTGTTTTTCTATCTTTCTCTTTCCCATCTTCCCTCTCTCCCTGCCCCCCTTTCTCTCTTCTTTCCTTTATTTCTCCTCCTCTATTTTTTTCATTCTTTTTAATGTTAGAGTACTTGTTCTTCAACACTTCCACAAGAATGAACTACACTTGTCCGGTAGAGAAAAAGCCATTCCTTTCTAATCTGGACTGGATTTCACTCTGATCTGATTATTTCCCCACTCTCCAACCTCCCAGAGCCCCAAAGCTTCTGGTTTGCAGCTGGGAACGTTCAGCAATTGTCTGAAAAGAAGGTGGCGCGTGTTTGTTTCCCTTTGCCAGCATGGCCAATGGGGAAGGCTGGACTCCATGATGGTCCAGGGAAGGAGGCTATACTGCCACACTGCATAGCCTGAAGGCCTGGGTTGGCGTTGGCAAGCCTTGTCTTGGCTCTGCTTTGAGCTTTGGTTTTGCAGCCTCAATAGCAACTCATCAGGACCCCCTTTCCAGCAGTGCTCTGGCTGATCACTTGTTTTTGCCCACAGACAATATGCCTGATCTCGGAGAAGTCGCCAAAACTGAGGTGAGTGAGCCCAGGCGGGTCCTTCCCTTCTCCCAGCTCCTCTGCTTTCCCCAAGACCTCTCTACAGCTCTCAGGACTCATTTTTGCTTTCTCTAGGTTGAGAATACAATCACCTATTCACTTCTCAAGCATCCTGAAGTTCCGGATGAAGATGCAGAACCTGATTACCAGAAACACATTTAATCTCCCTTGTCTTGACTTGGGATTGGAAAAAGCAAACCTTCCGGAAAGGCCAGGATCTAGTATCTCCTGGTCAGTAGGATTCTGGAGATATTAAGGAGGCTATGCACAGTCACCTGTGTGAGTCCTGAAACCAACAGACACCATGGTACTGGTCCCCAGTGGTTGATTGTACTAATAACTTCTACGACTTACCGCTTCCCAACTTAAGACTCTTCTGTTCTGCCATAGATTCACATGGTCAATAAAATTAGTCAAATTACTGTCATTAACAGACTGCTACAATATGGGAACTGCTTATACTACAAGCTACATGAGAACACTTACATTAAGATACATGATCTCAGCAATGATATAACTGGGTTGTACCAACATATCAAAAGTCATGCTTCAGGATGATTTAATTATAAGGGATTTTAATCTTCTTCCTTATTTTCCTATAAAGATCATATGCACTTTTATACTAAAATACTGTAAAAATAACATTTTATTTACTTTTTCAAGGTTGAGGTGATTGGAATGTAGACTGAGATCTCTGGGGTTTGTGGTCTTCTGTGAGAATAATCGTGGGGAGAGGGATTAGCGTCTCCTGAGGAGCTGTAAGCATCTCAGCATAAGGGCACTCATGACAAACCAAAGTAATGATTATACCCAAGTCTAGTTTGGTGCACCAATTAGTTTATTTGGCTTACTTATGGGAACATTGGTGAGGGGTTCCTTAGAGGGGTGTGGGTGGTTCCTTGCAGGGGTGTGGGTGACCTTAAAACAGCGGTCTTAGCACAGATGACAACTTCTTCACAGTTGCACAGATGGTGCCCTGCCCCTTCAGTTGGTTGATCTTCCTCAAACTGTCATCCTCCTGCTGCCTTCAGAGCTCCACAAAGACAAGCAGGCGTTCACCACCCACCACCCACGTGCCTGGCCTGGTAGCAATGGATGGGAGGGAACAGGAGCAGAGGCTCAGCGTTTCTCTCTTCCGGTGACTGTGACAAGCAGAGTAATCACTCTGTTTTGTAACACAAGTCCTCCGGAAGTTAAACCTCAAATGAATGCCAGTGGGCACTGGAGGATGACCTTGAACTCCTGATCCTCCTGCTTCTACCTCCTAACTGCTGGGATTATAGGATGTGCCACCACCCAGAGCTGGAATATGTATTTTAAAAATTGGATCACGTTGTATGTTTTTGTATGTTCACAAGATCACTCAGGTAGAAATTTAAGCATGCTGTAACCACATAAGTCACAGCACAGAGGTAGAAAAGAAAAAAGCAGAAGTTCTCTGTTGTCCTCATTCCCCTTAAATTTGTTCTTGTTCTATCTCTCTCCAATCACGAGTAACCACTGTTGCAGGTTTTATGCACATTTGGATTTTTTGTATGTATATTTAACATATTAGAGTTTTAGAAAGCCTATGTATGGGACTGCACTTTACACATGATTATGTTGTTGAATTATTTTGTTCAACAAGAAGAATGGTTGGGGCTTGCTTGGATGTTAGCCTGGCTCCAGGCTCACTGAAAGACCCTGTCTCAAAGGACTAAGCAGAGAGAGAAAGAGAGAGAATAGAATGTCCGATGGTTTCCTTGGACCTCTGCACACCGCACATAGTCACATTCCCATGTGTGTGCACCCAACAGACACACATAATAATAATAACAACCCTTTCTTGGACAGTGGTGAACATCTTTAATCCCAGCACTCTGGAAGCAGAGACAGGTGGATCTCTGTGAGTTTGACACCAGCCTGGTTCATAAAGAGACTTCCAGGACAGCCAGGGCTACACAGAGAAACTGAAACTCTCTCCATAATTTCTGCTTTGAAATCCCTGATAACAAAGACACCTTACGTGGATCTCAGTGGTTCAGTCCAAACACATGAAACAAATAAGGTCATTTGACACCAGGGAGAATGCATCAAGAAGCTCTTGTATTCCTAATTTGCACCTTTTAGTAAAGCCTTGCATGCCCCATGAATCTAATGAGTTCTTTTTCACATCCTCTTCAGCAAGGCCTCTCCTAACTACTGCTATTACTTTGGTTTTACTTTCTCCGTGGTACAGTGGGGGTAACTAGGTATCTTCTTGTTTATATATTCTCATGTACACTAAAATGTAAGCTTAATACAGTCCTGTTTTCATTATTCACTAATGCACTCCAGAGACTAAGACAATGAAACAGATGGTTGCATCAATTCATAAATAAATCTTTCTTCTCATAATTTCTGGGTTATTTGATATTCTTTTTTTTAACTTTTTTATTTATAAAGTTTATTTTTTTTCTAACTGTTTTTTTTATTGAGAAAAGAAGAAAAAAAAACATAAACAAAAAACAAGTTTCCACCTCCTCCCAGCCTCCCATTTCCCTTCCCCTCCTCCCACCCTTCTCCTCCTCCTCCCACCCTTCTCCCCCTCCCCCCACTCCTCTCCCCCTCCCTCTCCAGTCCACAGAGCAGTCCGGGTTCCCTGCCCTGTGGTAAGTCCTAGGTCCTCCCCACTCCGTCCATATCTAGGAAGGTGAACATCCAAACTGGCTAGGCTCCCACAAAGCCATCACATTACGTAGGATCAAACCCCCCGTGCCATTGTCCTTTGCGTCTCATCAGCCCTCATTGTTCGCCATGTTCAGAGGGTCCAGTTTTATCCCATGCTTTTTCGGTCACAGTCCAGCTGGTCCTGGTGAGCTCTCAATAGATCAGCTCCACTGTCTCAGTGGGTGGGTGCATCCCTCATGGTCCCGACTTCTTTGCTCATGTTCTCCCTCCTTCTGCTCCTCATTGGGACTTTGGAAGCTCAGTCCAGTGCTCCAGTGTGGGTCTCTTGATATTCTTAAATGCTGGTTAATTGCTCTACCATTGAGCTACTGCCCCGGGTGTTATTTGGTGTTCTTAATACTGTATAATACTTAATAATTCCCCTTGGAATCATGTATTGGAAACATACCCACCAATGCAACAGGTTGGGAGGTGGTATCTGATCGGAGGTGATTAGCCTGTGTGAAGTCCTTATAAAGAGGTGAATCTGGTGCCATTTCGGCTCTGTCCTTCTTCCCTTCCTTTCCCACTCTCCCCGTTCTTAGCCCATAGAATGACACAACAAGAATTCTGGTCCCCCAGGTTTGAACTTCTCAGCCTCCAGAACCACACATGCTAATAAGGAATTACCCAAGTCTGTGGGATTTTGTCATAGCAACTCAGAGAAGGCTTTCTGTATCTCGAGAGTTCAATAAAAGTCTACTTGTTACCTTTCCTTGAAACCTTACTAAATTAACCTAAAATTCTTAAACATTTTAGAAAGGATCTGAATTTAAATACACTTGGAAATCATTTTTTGAATTTGGTGTAAGGTAAGGATCCAACTTAATTTTCACCCGTGTGAGGTCAGTTATGGCCATGTCATTCCTTGAAAAAATGACTGGAAATGCTACAGTTCATTATCAGCTTCCACACACAGGCCTACAGCAGTCTCTCTCTGTTGCCTTATTCCTTTTGCTTGTTTTTTTCTGCCTCAATAACACACACTCATTTATTTTAGCTTTATAGCATATTTTCATATGTAGAAAGTCCAGTTTTCTCTTATTTCTTTGTTTCGAGATTTTCTTGCCCATTATTGTGCTGTTTCTCTTCCAGGTAGACTTTAAAATTCCACATACTACAGTGTGCTAAGAGAATTACAATGTCTATGTATTTTGTAAGAATTACACTGTTTATATATTTGGGTAAGGTTTGACATCTGTGTTACACCCCAAATGGCGGCTTCTGGTTTGTTTAGAATGTAGACTTCTCTAATAACATATGGCCTTTTGTTGGACTAAAGTTTAGTCAACCTTTCCCCTCTATATCACTGTTACTCTCTAGAATTTTCTAGACTTTTTAAAGTCAATTTTGAAAATGTGTGTTTTTCCCCAGAAAATCATACATTTTATTAATTGGTATGCAGCAAAATGCTTCTCCTTCTCCTCTCTCTCTCTCTCTCTCTCTCTCTCTCTCTCTCTGGGTGTGTGTGTGTGTGTGTGTGTGTGTGTGTGTGTGTGTGTCTTTCCCTCTCTGTGTCTCTCTGCCTCTCTCTCTCTCTCCTCTTGCTTTCTTTGTCAGGGTCTCAAGGAACCCACACTGACCCCTCCCCCACTCTTAGCTTTGAGCTCTTTTATCAGGGTGACTTTAGTTGAGAATAACAGGAACTCATGGTTCAAACTGGCTTAAACAATAAGGAAATCTATTATTTCCCATAACAAAAAGTTTGGAGACAGAATGTCTCCTTGCATCAGGATTCTGGGACCTTTTTTTCTGCAATCCTCTGGGTAATGCGCTCGGACTGGCAGGAATACACAGTCATTCTAAATGTCATATCCTGGTATCTAGAAGAAGAAAGGGACTAATTACATTTTTGATGTGTCCCTTGAGAACAAGGAAAATATTCTCAGAAGTCCTTGGTAATGCTTCTGTCATAGTGTATTGATTAGAACAGACCACACTGAAAGCATGGATTACAGAGAAGACTAAGATGACCGTAGCATACCTCGCTACCGCTTTCAAACCAGAATGACTATTGAGATTGAAACCCTTGACCTCTCTGTCTTTGTCCATCCTAGAAGCCTCATTAATGGTTTGCCTGCCTGTTTGTCTTGTAGTAGCTTTAACTTATTAATCAAGTATTTTGCCTTTTGTTTGCTTTCAAACATGCTATTTTCTACTTTATTTAGATTCATATATTACTTATTTTTGAATTTTTTGTTTTCAAACAAATAATAAAAGATGGTAACCTTTCCTCTACTACTGTTTTGGTCATAAGCTTTTTACTTTGCTGGGTCCAGGGTCGCACAACAATGGGGGGCCAGACCACCAAAATCTATTAAACCAGAAGCAAGCTTTATTTTAGAAAACGAGGGGAAAAATCACCATGGGACACACAAAGCTTATCAGCTATAGCTGTGACCAGAGATCGGGCTTCTGTAGCTGTGGCCTGGGTGGCTGGTTTTGGGCCTCCTTTTATAGTAAAATCAAGCACCATGTGTGGGTCAAAGAGCTTTTACAACCTTGAGGTCAGGCTTAAAGTCATATTACATTTTAAGTTTTACAACTTTGGGTTATAGAACGTTAGGATGTTAACTCAGGATGTTTGCGAAAGCCTGTGGCTGACACAGTTGCTTTTCACTGTCCCTGACAGAATGCAGCGCAGAGAGTAGAGTCACAAAGGGGGACAGTTAAAAATTAAGAGAATACAAGCAGAGGGTCCCATAGAGGCAACAGTTAGAAGCTACTCTTTGTCCACAGTACCTGCCTAGCTGGGAAGCTGGGAGGCAGGAGACCATTGTTAAAAGTTTACCTCTGTCCACATGGCTGTCAGGATGTCTGTTCTCAAGGCAGAAAGTGTTTGTTAAAGGTTAGCTTTATTTATTTTTTCCCCAAAATGTGTTTGGGCTTACAACTTTGTATTTCCATGTTTCTAGACCTGACCCTTTATTTCTATATTCTATTCCTGAGCTCTTCAACTTCAGTATACTTGTCTGTCAATATTCTTTCG